TATCAAAACACTAATAGTTCCACAGAAATCATTTAACATAATTGAACCCCACTGTAGCAGGACCTGTACCGACATATTTGACATATTTTCTTTTTATGGTGCTGTTGGTTTAAACCAGAAGAACCTTACCATTGAGCTTCACCAACCCTTCTTTATTTTAATTTGAGGTGGACTTGCTGTGTTAACACTTGTGATCTTCCTGCCTCAGCCTCCCCAGCCACTGGGACTACATATGCCTCACCGTACTGGTGTATTTTCTTAAGGGCCAAAAAGACTTACTGTTAGTGATGATGATATAGTTTTGCAACCATTTCTTCTATTCTGTGGCAGAAAGCAGATAAGTAAATACACTGCTCTTATTAAGAACCAGGACTGGCCCTGGGAGAGAAGGGCCAGACAAGAAAGAAGTGAAGACAGAAGCCTCCAGTGGGAAGGAGGCAGGGCTGAGGGCGCCCTCTGGCTGCTGTGTAGGGGATGAGCCACAAAAGGGCAGGGTGGCAGCAAGGAGACCCACCTGGCTTCTCTGCTGGCCAGAGATGGCAGGCCTAGCCAGGCAAGGAGGGAGCCCTGGCCTGGTAGCCTTGATTCCCATGCCTTCCACACCCCATGTTACTGTGGGGTCCAGCTGGCTCACACCCTGTTTGTGCTCCTCGCAGACAATCAGCTAAAGGTGTGGATGAGCAAGTACGGCTGGAGCGCCGACGAGTCGGGGCAGATCTTCATCTGTAGCCAAGAGGAGAGCATTAAGCCCAAGAACATCGTGGAAAAGATTGACTTTGACAGTGAGTGGTGGCCCAGGGTCTGGCTGTGGGGCTCAAGGGACATCCTTTGACAGACACTGGAATGGGGCCCCGAAACCCAGGTAGAGCTGTTCTTGTCCAGGGCCAGGGAACTTGTGTCTGCCACACTCCTTTGATCTGTCCAGGGGCTGCCCACCCAGCGAGGCGCGGCCACATGATGCCAGCTGGCCTTCCTTGGTGCATGCAGGTGACTCCACACCTGCTGGCCCCAGGGGCTCTGTTCCTTTGGCTTTCCCTTGTCTCTGGGGCCCTGGGGGCCTCCCAGGCAGGCTCTTGAGTCAGGTGAGCTGAGTGGAAATCTGGGGTCTCTACTGAACAGCAAACTTGGGGCGACCTGACTGCTTATGCCTCTATTTTCTTATGTAAAAAATGGGATGACAGGGCTGGATTGTGGCTCAATGGTAGAGCGGTCGCCTAGCACAGACAAGGCCCTGGTTCCATCCTCAGCACCACATAAATAAAGACAGCTATTGTGTCCATCTGCAACTAAAAAAAAATTCTTTAAATGGGGACGACAGCAACAATAATTAGGAAAAACACTGTTGTTTTTTACACGTAAGCCGTTTGCTCCTCACATCAGCCCTCTTGTAATTGGCTGAGCAACATTATAACTTTCACCTTGCTCACCCCATGCACTGGAGGCGAGGTAGCAGAGAGCCAGGCATTCAGTCCAGAGCGCATTGAGTTCGTCACCACCAATACACACATGAGGAGCAGTCTCATCTGTGCAGAGCACGGGGGCTGCTCTCTTGGGCCTGAGTCTC